TCTGGTTGTTCCCCCTCCTCCTTTGGTTGCTTCTGGACAGGAGGAGTACGAAGTCTCCTCCATCATTGATTCCAGGTTTTCTCGTGGTTCCTTACAGTATTTGGTTGATTGGACCGTTCTTGGGTTTTGGCTTCTGATATCCATGCTGGCCGTAAACTTTGTTCTTTTCACTCCAAGTGTCCTCTCAAACCTGGTCCTGCCCGCCCGGTGGGCGGTCTTCCGTTGGGGGGTAATGTCACGTATTCATCCGCACATAAAAATGTGGTTAGTAGCATTTACCGTCCTGACAGTAAAAGTTGTGTCGAGCAGTATTACCGTCCTGACAGGAAAAGTTGTGCCGAGCAGCAATCATGCACATGGAAACCTGGTAAGTGCCTTTGGGGTCAAAGGCCAGTCATGGCCAATCAGGTCCACAGGAGAGGGGTATTTAAACCCAATTCTCCTTTTGTTCATTTACCTGTCGTGGTTTTATCTTGATGGTAATTGTTAAGACACCCCTAGTGTCTTTAAACGAAACCGCCGTTTAGGCGACCTTCCCCTTCTGCAATACAAATAATCCCCGTTCGCATAAACTGTAGTGCACGAACCAAACTCAGGGGAAGCGGCAATCTCCCGACCGTGAGCGTGAACGGCTCCAAACTCCCGAACGGCAATCCACGAACTGCTGCCAGCCGCCGAACAATAACATCCACCAAGCGGCTTTCGGTTCCATCCAGCAGTCTCTAAGCGTAAAGAAGAAATCCCCCCAAACATGATCTGGCTTTACTGTGGGCTACCTGCCCGTATTTATGCAGGTCTCCCACTTGGTGGACACTCCCCTAGGGGACCAAATGGGAGACTTAAATGACAGACAGATATGGGGACATTCCAGACACACAGTCACAGATTTTACCCACAATGCACTATGGTTTCCTCCCCTCTGCCCTGGAGATAATTAAGGAGTAACTCAATTATCTCCAGGACAAAGCCAGTCGCCATTTTAAATATAAAATCAGAAAAGACCTAAAAATACATAACTTCACAAAAACCGAACATTTCCCATTCGCATCACATATCCCCAGATAGCCTGGATCTGAGTGTATATTATTAGCGAATAGCGCTCAGATCCCACACACATAGTTCAAACGCCATGAAGTCAAATAATACATACAATAGGTGGAACACACATCTGTAGAATCTAAAAAACAGGATAGAACATCATAGTGTAATATGTCAAAAATGAACAGTAATAGATGGAATTAGAGCAGTATTACTCACAAGCCTGGAGCCAATATTAACATATGGCTCTTATGTGCAGCGCAGTGGGACTTTTACATGGATGTCCCCATCCCTCTTGGTATTCCTCCTTTGGTGATATGGTGATGGTAGAAGATCACACTATTCCAATCTGTATCCAATGAGGGAACTTTATTATGAAAAACAATCAATATATTAAAAAATTATAAGGAAATCAATATTCCCAGTAAAAATAAAAATATAGAAATATAGACAATATGTCCAATTAAAAGTCCAATGTGCAGACTGTAATAGTCCAAAACGCGTTTCGCCCTATGGTGGGGGCTTCCTCAGTTGGCATTAGTCTGTATACCGAGTGGCTGGTTCTTGGCGTCCTTATAAAGCACTTTTCTTCTTCACTTCCGGGTTTTATGTGTTTGGAACGCATCGTGCGTTCCACCGCCGGTTTCCTGTATAATACTTCCGGTTTGGTGTTGTATCGGCATCTTCCTATGTGTCACTTCCGGTTTCGGTCTGTGGAACGCTTCTATGATGTCACTGGAACGCATAGAGTCGGATCTATGCGTTCCACTGCAGATAACTTTGCATACCATTGTGTATTAATCATATAGCGTCCCTAGGTGGTTTCTCAATATATGTTACCTCTAATCCATTACATATACACAGGAAAACATAAATCAGAAAACAAAATTATTCTTATTATTCAGTCACCTCTGGTGTGTTTTACATGCATAGAAATCAAGAACATACACATAAATTTATAAGTGAATTGTTATCACATGATAGATTTGTATAAGTGATAGTGGGTTCATGCCAGTGACATCATTTCTTATAAAAGGTGCCAATCCATAGCAGCATATGAAGAAATAAGTGTAATGTGGAAAATATAAAAGATATATATATATATAAGTAAAAATAAAAATTTTCTACTTTAAAAATTAAATAAAATGACAAATTTCAAAATCTGAATTAAGACCATGGGGAATTAGGGTGTTAAAATTGAAAATAAATTTCATTTCTTCTGAACCTATTTTTTTATTGTAATCACCACCTCTCCAATCTTTTTTGACCGTTTTGAGTGGGCAGAAAAATAGATGTTCTGGATTAAGATTATGGTGTATTTTAAAGTGGTTGGAGACGCTGTGGGTTTCAAGACCTTTTTTAATATTTCGGACGTGTTCAGATATTCTGACATTTAGGTTCCTAATGGTTCTCCCTATGTACAATAGGTTACAGGGACATTTCAATAAGTAGATAACTCCTTTTGAAAAACAGGTAAGTTGTTCTTTTAAAGTAAAATCAATTTTCGTATATTCATTAAGATTCTTTATATGTCTTTTTGGGTTTTTAGTTGTTCTACAGGCTAGACATGTCCCACATCCAAAATAGCCTTTACTCTGATTTAAAAAATGTGATATATTCTTGGTTGGGCCCTCACTACTATGCATTAGAGATCTTTTTAAATTGGCTGCTCCTCTGTAAATGATTTTAGGTTTTGTTGGTAACACATTGTGTAAAATCGGATCTTTCTGTAGCATGTACCAATGTTTATTGATAATTCTATTTATTTTTTTGTTATTCCCATTGAAGTTACATATAAAGTTGGCTTCTTTTGTGTTAAGATTTTTATTGTAATGTTGTTTATACGTTAATAGCTGTTCTCTAGGAGTATCTTGGATTTCTTTCATGGCTCCAGTTAGTTTTTCCTCTTCGTAGCCTTTTTCTAGGAATTGTTTCTTAATAATATTTGCTTGATTTATGTAGTCATGTTCATTCGTACAATTTCGTCGAATTCGTAAAAACTGACCCTTTGGGGCATTTTCCAACCAAGGTGTATGATGACAACTCTTTTTATCAATATATCCATTGGCGTCTACGGGTTTGAAAAAATTTTTTGTTTTAATTTGATGATTCTCAATAAAAATTTGAAGGTCTAAAAAGTTGATACTGGTGGGACTATGTATAGTGGTAAGAACAATTCCCCATTTGTTGGTTGATAAACAAGCTAAAAACATATGTAAAAGGTCTATTGTGCCGTTCCAAATTAAAAAAATATCGTCTATGTATCTTCGATAGGTCACCAAATTCGACACCCAGGGATGCTCTGAGAACACGAAAATTTCTTCCCAATATGACATAAAAAGATTGGCATAACTGGGTGCGAATTTGGTGCCCATTGCTGTACCTCTGATCTGAAGATAAAATGAATTTTGAAACCAAAAAAAGTTGTTAGTATAAGATGTATACCTTCCAATATAAAATCCCTTTGTTCAGTCTCAAAATTGGCTTTAGTTAAAAAATGTTTCACTGCTTCTAGGCCTACTTCATGGGGAATTATACTATATAGTGACGTGACATCACTCGTTACCAATAGATAATTATCTTCCCATTCGATGGTGTTTAAAAGTTGTAGTACATGTATGGTATCTTTTAGATACGCTGGGTTTTTCACTACTATTGGTTGTAACAGTAGGTCAATGTACTCAGAGACTCTAGAAGAAATGGAGTCGATCCCAGATATAATAGGGCGTCCTGGAGGGTTATTTAAATCTTTATGGATCTTAGGAAGGTAATAAAATACTGGAATTTTTGGGTGGGGGATTGATAGGTATTCTCCTTCTTTTTTTGTTAAAATACCTTTCTCCATACCCTTTTGTATATATTTATCGAATATGTCTTTTACTATTCTAGTTGGATCTGATTTCAATTTTGTGTAAGTGCTCACATCAGAGAGGATTCTTTCTGACTCTGTCAAATATTGGGCTTTGGAGAGGATTACTATCCCTCCTCCTTTATCTGCTGATTTTATCACTAAATTATCATTTTTTTGTATTTTTTTCAAAGTGTTTCGTTCTTGTGTTGACATATTATTTTGATATTTATTTAATTTTTTTATTTTGTTTATTTCTGCCATAACTGTGGTTTCAAAAGCTCTCATCTCATTTGAAATCATATTCTTAGGGAAGAAGTTGGATTTTTGTTTTAAATCCGTATGTATAAAATTGGATTGATTATCCTGGTCTTGTCTTATCTGTATTGTGTTTTCTTCTTCATGATAAAAAATTTTTTTTAAACATAGTTTTCTTAAAAATTTATTCATATCAATAAATACCTCGAAATTATTTAATTCTTGTGTGGGCGCAAATTTTAGACCTTTTTTTAAAACTTTTAATTCTTCATTTGTTAGAATATGGTCCGTAAGGTTAAAAATTCCATCTGAATTTATTTCTTCCCTCTTTTTCCTTTGTTTCTTATCTCTTCCTCTTCTGAATCGTAATCTATCGGTCTCTGGCGTTTGCCTGGGGATTCCCATGATGGGGGTTTCTCTTGCCATTTGATTCTCTCTTGAATCGGTTCCTTCCAAAAAACCGAGGATGAAGGTGCTAAAGTAGTTTCGTGATCCTCTGATGTTCTTTCCCTAATTCTTCTCAATCTTATTGTATCATCATAATGTTTACTACCTTTCTCATTTCTTCTTTGTTCTTTATGAAGTCAAAGTTCTTACAGTCTTTCGGTATACGAATGACTCAATGGGAAGGCTATCTGGGTTAAGTCCTTTCGTATGCTTCAAAACTCCCGAACGGCCGGTATTCGTATGCTTTCGTGGAGGCAGCCAGGCGTTCCGTTGTTTCAGCGGTGTTCAGCAGAAAAAGTGTCTGTTTTTAGTTCCATGAAAATAGAGCCGAACAACCCTGGGGTTTCGCGTGTTTTAAAATGGCCGCTGCCTCATGGTCGACATACGAACGACGACCACCCTGAATTCAGTTTAATTGAGAAGTGTCTGTGGTTAACCACAACGTTCTAATTGGGATCAATAGGTTAACCAGCAGCACACTTCTTTTCTGGGTGGCCATCCGTTCGGTAGTTTTGTTCAGGAAAACGGTCATTCGTATGGCTGGGCTATAGGAACCAGCCATTTACACGAACAGGGCAAAATAGACTAATCCATCAGCAATAAACAGACAGATGGTTCTGTCACACGGCTCCCTCCTTGTGGGACACTCCGGCAGACCAGGCTTGACCCTTTGGCGGGTCAACTTGGGGATGACCGGACTAGGAGGTGGTGGAGACGTCAGTTTGTCGGGATAACCCATCTGCATTCCCGTTCAGCTTACCGGGTCTGTAGCTGATGGTAAAATTGTAGGGCTGCAATGCCAAGCTCCATCTCAGTAGTCTCCCATTGTCTTGAGGCCGGGTTAAGCCAAACGAGTGGGTTATAATCAGTAACCAGGGAAAACTCTTGCCCGTATAAGTAGGGACTTAACTTTTTCAATGCCCAGACCAAGGCCAAGCACTCCTTCTCCACTGCCGCATAACTCACTTCTCTGGGTAACAACTTTCTGCTGAGAAATGCGACAGGGTGCTCTCCTCCATCTTCCCCGACTTGGCTCAGCACAGCCCCCAGTCCATACATGTAAGCATCTGTATGGACGAGAAAACGTTTGTTAGGGACTGGGGCAGCCAAGACAGGGGCATTCACAAGAGCCTGTTTTAGTGCCTGGAACGTAGCTTCACAAGCCGGAGACCACAGGACCCGCTTAGGCAAGTTCTTCTTGGTCAGGTCTGTCAGGGGCTTAGCAATAGTGCTGTAGTCAGGGACAAAATGTCTGTAGTACCCTGCCATCCCCAAGAAGGCCAATACCTGGGTCTTAGTGGTAGGTGTGGGCCAGTTAGCCACTGCCTCTACCTTGGCTGGCTCTGGTCTCTGGCTCCCACACCCCACTCGGTGACCCAGGTACTATACTTCAGCCATACCTAGATGGCACTTCTCTGGCTTCAATGTCAGGCCAGCGGCCCGAATTTTATCCAGCACTACCCCTACATGTAACAGGTGTTCCTCCCAGGACCCACTGTAAATCACAATGTCGTCCAAGTATGCACTGCAAATTCTTGGAAGCCATCCAGGAGTCTATCCACCATCCGTTGGAAG